TAAAAAAGACTTCATAATCCGAAAATAAAATTACTATGTGATATACTTATTAGGCTCATCTCAATCTATGATCTATGCTCTAACATAGCAAACTTCATTAATTTAAAATCGAATATGTTATTGGTGCAAAAACAAGTTACGAAGGTGGTAATTTTTGGATATATTTTTCAGGCACAAAATAGAAGTTGACATTTTTAAACTAGATCTTATATTGACATAATTATTGAGATGTGCTAATCGGTCATTAATTACACAATTTTAAAATTATTTTTCTTTTTTTCAAAGTTATGAAAGAAGGTGTGAATAGATATATCCCATCTCTGCTCTAGATATAGTTCAGAAGTAAATATTGAAATTTGTGTAATTTTAAGTACCATTTAGTACTTTTTGTACAATTATGGTACACATTTCCAAACCCTCTTCTATATTTCAATTCCATATACCAACAGAGACCTCAATATCAAATTTGAGTATTCCAGCCCTATCGCTACACCAAATACGAAATTTAGTACCATTATGTACTTTTCCTACAAATATAGGGCGAATTTTCAAACAATTGCCAAATCTCAAACATAGATACCATTAGCAATATAAATACTAAATTTTAGAATTTTATCTCTATCCTTTCATCCAATACCAAATTGAGTTCTATCGTACATGTATGGTACACATTTTCGAAACCACTTCAGATTTCAAGCACTTCTTTCTGTTAACCCAATACAAAACCTTTTTTTTTTTTGTCACAAACCTACCCAAATATAAAATATAAAATTTTAGATTCATCCGTTTACTCGAAACCAAAGTGTTCCAAATTTTGTACCATTTAGTACCGTTCGCACATTTAGCACACATTTCCAAAACCAGCTGTATATATCAAACTTACTTTCAACCATTGATTCTCATAACAGATTTGATTCAAATTTTAGCTCGATTCGTTCATGTAATACCAAATGGTATAATTTTAGAAGTTTAGTATCCTGTATGAACTTTTCGTAACCTTAAAATTCGACTTTCCAAAAAACATCCATCCTGCACTCCATCCTTGGCTTGCATACAAAAATACTATATTTGATACCAGTTGGTATTATACAGGGCGAGATAAAAAAAACTACAACAAAGTCAAACGCCATAAGTTTTACATTTTTTTAATTTAATTGAGTGAAAGCAAAAAACGTCGGAAATAGCATCAAATTTTAGAATAAGTTTAGATTTGTTCGAATTGGTCATCTTTGGCACGAATTATGGTCTTCAAACGGCCAATGAAACCGTCAAACGCTGCCCGATGTCTCTCTGCGGTATTCTGGCCCATTCCCGGCAAAAGCGCTTGCTTGAGGTGATCTACACTTTGGTATTTTTTAGTGCCAACCTTGCTTTCCAAAATACTCCAGACACAATAGTTCAACGGATTGGTCGCCGGAGATTTTGGTGGTCATTGTGCGCTGTAAATGAAGCGAGGAATCTCATTTTGTAACTATTCTTGGGTGAAGCGTGCTGAGTGCGATGGTGCTAAGTTCTGTTGGAATGTCCAAGGTCGGAGGCCGAAATGTTTGCGTGTTCGGCATTTATTCAGATGCCACGGTCGATTAATACGAGCGGAGAACGATCATCGGCTGTTACGGCGGCCCACACCATCACCATAGCCGGCGCTTGAGCTCTTGTGCACATTTTCAGCTGACCTCTTTGGCAAGTAATGCGATCATTTTGTTTGTTTACAAACTACTGGACAACGAATGTTTTCTCATCTGAGAAAACCAAATTCGGCAGTTCACCACTTTCGGTCAAGCGAAACAACTCTTTAACTCTTTTGAGTCTATTCTCTTTCTGTTGCGGTGTAAGTTCTTGCACCTTTTTGAATTTCAATGGCTTTATCCCGATCTCATTTTTCAATATTTGCCGAATGGAATATTGCGATATGTTCAGCTCACGAGCCATTTTTCGGCCACTGCGGGTTTCTATCGAGTAGCCTCTTTACTTTTCGAACCATTTCTGCTGATGTTGCTGTTTTCTTCCGTCCACTTCCTTGACGTCGGGCTACGCTACCAGTATCACGGTAGCGAGCCATGGTACGAGACATAAAAGATTAATTCACATTTAAATGCTGGAGTGCTCCAACGATAGCCACTTGTGGTTTTCCAGCGAAATATAAAGAAATCACACTATCACGCTTGAATTCCATCACGAATAACTTTTTTCCTGGAAAATTCTCACCAAAATGCTTTTGTAAGCTTGTAAACAATATAATGAGCTGTCACTGGAATAATTTTAACAGCTGTCGGACGAGTGGCTTACAAATGTCATGCAATTTTTTCATCTAACCCTGTAGATGCTGTATTCGGTATTTTGATGATTTAACCACATTTTTCAATGGAATTTTCTGAAATTGCTCCACGATATCGGATATCTGCCTTTCGATATTCGGTATTTTGATGACTCGTTATGGGTACTTCAGCTTATGTCAAAAAAACTGCAGTTTTTTTTATCTAACCCTGTATATGCTATATTCGGTATTTTGATGATTTTAGCCCCATTTTTCAATGGAATTGTCTGAAATTATACACAAGGAGTTCTTTGTAAGTACTTTACCTCATGAAAGGGAATGGTCTATATTGGTCCACAATATCGGATATCTGCCTCCTGATATGTGATATTTTGATGATTTAAGCTCTAATGGGTACTGCTGCTTATGTCAAGAAAACTGCGCATAAAGATCCACGTCTTCGTATAGCCCCCATATATCGGCACCTCTTGATATTTGGTATTTTGATGATTTAAGCTCTAATGGGTACTACAACCTGTGACGGAAAATTTTCTATGTAGGTCCACGTCTTCATACAGCATATATAACAGCAACTGCCTCTAATCGGTATTTTGATGATATTAGCGACATTATTCACCGGAATTGTTTAAATTTCGTATTTAAGGTAGTAATGGCTACTGCAGCCGATTACAAAAAAAAAAAAAAAAAACTTAAACTAGAACCACGTCTTCGTATAGCCCCCACATTACTGTTTTCCCTTGAGCGGTATCTTTTTTTTGGAAATTTTTCAATTTCCTTAAAAATGTTAGAGGATATTAAAAGTTCGAACTTAGCTATTTGTTTACTTGTTACCTTTTATTTTGTTTGCTGATTAAGGGCCTTGAACTCACTATTTTCTCTCCATATTTTCTCTGTTTCTGAGTAAAGATACGAACCAACGGCCTTATGCTAGGAACACAATTGGAGCGAACGACGAATTTCGCCCTACGCGGCGACAACATACGCCGCGAAAAAATTCGTCGTTCGCTCCAATTGTGTTCCTAGCATTATGTTTTATTGTTGGTCGTAATCACTCTCTGGCGCTGTTCCTCATTACAAGGCATGAAAAAAGTATGTTGGTTTGCCTATTTTAGGTATTTTTTTAACTTACTTGTAATGCAAAGGGAATGTGATAGTCATTACTGGTAATGCGAAAGTAGGACATACGGCTTCCAAAATTTTTAGTGGGTAAGAGTGCATTAATGCATGTCGTACTCTGATACTAATCAGGATATCGCCTTGTAAAAATAAGGGGTAAGGAAGTTGTTTTGTAAGTAGTTACTGTAAGTATTACTTAATAAATTCATATTTTTAGAAAAGTGATTTTTTTGGTTTTTCATATGAAAAAATCTATCCTCCCTCGCTTTAAGGCCATTTTTCTTCAATGAATATTAATTTTTCCCCAACTGATCTTTGCTACGGGTCCTCCATGGTTTGTAACAAACGGTAATTGAATGAATGAATGAATCAGACTGTATATTTATTTGTAGTTGTTTTGGTTTGCGGGGGAGGAGTGAAGTGTGGGGTGTGTTTGACTGCACGAGTATATAGCATGTTTAATACATGTCATGCCAAATGCATTCCAAAAATCTTGTAGCTTTTTTTTGTTTCATTGTTATATTTACGCTAAGGGGTCAGTGAACTCTCGATGTGTAGTTTTATAGTTTTAGTTTGCCGGCTTTGTTGTAATATTGTATTTTTGGCGAAAAATTATTTTGTATCTGCAAATAAATATCTACAATCTGTATAAGTTGGGGGTATTTTACCTTTTGCCTTTCCTCTCCTTCCTTTGGTCATCCATAATTATGGGGTTGGTTGTTGTTAGTTGACTGGACTATGGATTTGTTTTGATTTCCAAATGAGGGTGGAAGTTAGTAAATAACTGAATGTGTGTTTGGGACTGAATGACAGACTGATGGTCGTTCGTTTGGTTGGGTTGGTTGGTCATGTCTCAATTCATTCACCATCATCATCGTCATCATCAACTGTACAAAATTGCAAATGAAAATAATCAAAAATCATTGTTATTGGTTGTCTTTGCTCTCTCCGAGAAATATTTACCCAAATCTAATCCCTGCCCTCCTCCCCAAACGCCCTGCAGTTTTACTTCAATTTCAATTTGTCTTCAGCAGCACATTTCTTTTCAAAATAATTTCTTTCTTCGACCAACTCTATCTTGATGTGGCCAAATAATGGACATGGGTTCAATGAACTCCTCTTTTGCTGCTGTTGCTGCTATTCGTAATTCTTTTCTATTTGCTTTTGTTTCTCTTTCAATTGGATTTCCAACAATGTAATCTGATAACATGTCATTCGCTGGCTGATGATGACTTGTGTAAACTTTAACTATTTCTGAAAAATAAATTTTGACAAATTGCAAATATTTTTTAAACGTCTATTTGACAGGAAGACGGCACAGTTGCTCTTTGGGCAATGGTATTTGTTATCTGTTTGTTTGTGCCCGTCTGTCTGCATGTCTTGCCTGGTGACTCTCACTTACTCTCTCTCTCTCTCTCTCTCTCTCTCTCTCAATCTGTTGGTCCGGTTATTTGTGAACTTCATTAGTGTTATTTTCCCATGTTGACATTTAAATGGATTTTTCTGCTACTCTGACAGACTAACTGACTGGCCGTTGTTTATGTTTGCATAGAACTGTTTTTTGACAGTTTTTAAAACTATTTTTCACATATACCACACACTCACACACGTACACACGTGTGTGTATGTACTAACATCTTTATCAGGCTGTCCAAACATTGCTAATTGTCAAGAGTGTCAAAAGTGGGATTTGTTGACATTGATCAAATATTTGCAATCCAGAAACAAGAAAAATACAGCTGTTTTCGAGATTTTTATGGAGTTAATTTTGGGGTAGTTTTCATCAGCTGTTATACCGTAAATGAACATAAAATATTTTTCTGCAAATATTTTGTTAACAAACATTAATCATTTCTCTTTTCTTTGTTCTATTTTTAGGTGAGTTAAACTTGAATCGGGTGGAAGCTACGAATTCCGTTTGTAATTAAGTAAGTCCATACTAAAATGGTTCACTGTTTCTTTTCTAAATTTTCTTCTGTTTCTAAATTGAAAAGTTGGGTTCTAAGTGTGTGTGTATGCCCTGTAAAACTTGGGAGCTGTGTGAGACGAATAACTCATTAAACGTAAACAAATTACTTTTGCATTTGCAGTATGTTGAAAATAACGGAGTATTCCTCACAAAAAAAAAAAAAAAAAAAAAAAAAAAAAAAAAAAAAAAAAACAGAGCACAAGAACTTTATTCTATTGTTACCAAGTAATAAATAAAGTCGGCACAGACTGTACACGTTCAACTTAAAATCCGAGAAGAGACTTGGCTTCGGCAAACGAAGAAAAACTTAATGAAAAACGAAGACCTAGCAAGAATTTAGTAGTCATTTTCACTTCATATTGCAGCATTACTAAGTAATGAGTAACGATAAGCACTTTCGATGGTCGTCGTTTGGAAGCAAAACAAAAAAAAACAGATGTACAGGGTGAAATAAAAAACTGCAACAAAGTCAAACGCCATAATTTGACCTCTGCGGGAAGTAAACACGACAATTTGGATTGTTTACAAACTGCTGGACAACGAATGTTTTCTCATCGGAGAAAACCAAATTCGGCAGTTCACCACTTTCGGCCAAGCGAATCAACTCTTTAGCTCTTTTGAGTCTAAATTCTTTCTGTTGCGGTGTAAGTTCTTGCACTTTTGGGAATTTCAACGGCTCATTTTTCAATATTTACTAAATGCTCACGAGGCATTTTACGGCCACTGCGACGCTGAAGTGCCCTAGCGATATCCACTTATGGTTTTCCAGCCAAATATAAAGAAATCACACTAACACGCTTGAATTCCATCACGAATAACTTTTTTCTGGAAAATTCTCACGAAAATACTTTTGTACGCTTGTAAACAATATAATTGCGAAAATTATTTCGGGTTTTATGAGCTTGTGGTGTTGTATCAGAAGGAGAGGGCTCCAGGTTTTTTATACCATATTTTGTTTTGGTCGAAATATTGAGATGTGGTAAAGTTTAAGATACTAGGACTTTTATTTCACATTTTACATCGAAATCGTCACAGGATTTTGGGATAATAAATATTTTGGGTTGACGGCTGTGAAATGAAGTGAAATTTTTGGTTGATCGACGAGGGATCGTATATCGGGTATTCGATATTAATATATATTGGATGTAGGTGATTTTTAGGTAAATGGTAACTCTCAGTGTCACTGTAGGATTTGTTGTTCGGTGTTTCGGATATCGATTGATTCTCGAAAAATCTGATGTTGAGAGTTGGAGTTTTGAAGACTATTTGTCGAAGATCTGGAACAATAAGTATTAATGTTCGGATTGTAAATAATTAGGGACTCGTCATGTACTAGATTATAACATACAAATAGTATCTTACTGCCACTGTACAACATGAACATTGGCGCGAGATTGATGTGGAAAAGATGTTCGCCAATCTCATATAGATTTTTTTCCGATAAAAAACAACCCTCGTAGAAAAGACTTTTGGAACATTTTCCGAAGGACCTTTGATTCTAACTCCTAGAGTAAAAATCGATCCAATGGTATATTCCAAACGCCCTGAAAGATTACTCGGCAAAAGTAGAAACTGCTCAATTTCGAACAAAAACAAGCAAAACCTACTCGGCCTTTTTTACTTTGGGGAGTATTACTGCTGAAATTTGTGCGAGTTTGTCGCTCTACTCGAATTTGAAACTAATGCCCACAAAATGTTAACCCAAAGATTGCTCCAAAGTCCTCTGATACAGATGAGACCAGAAGGTTTGGTAGAACATTGAACCAAAGCTCTAGTAGAATATTTATCCAAAGGTCCATTGGAGTATTGACTCAATGATATAATAGAACATTGCCCCAAGGTCTAGTGAAATGTTTAACGCAAGGCGTTGTGCAACACCAATTTATAGGTCTAAGGAATTTACCCACAAATGTCTGAGGAATGATAAAAAGTCAAAGGTTAAGCATACATTGAATCGTAGTTCCATATTGATCCGAGAGATTAGAATATTTATCCGGAGTCCGGAATATTGCCTAAAAGACCTGGGGGAACTTTTACCAGCACAAATTAGCAATGCAAAGGAACCGCGGCAGCAGACGAAACGCAGCGAACGATTTAAATATTTTTTACTTGTGAGTTAGGTTTGATAACATCCGATGGTCCTCTCCGCTCGTATTAATCGACCGTGACGTCAGAATAAATGCCGAATATAACGCATTATTTAAGATAAAATAAATTTGCAATGCAACAAAGTATCTATCGTTTTTGCATTTCATAGCTCCACACGGAACATATTAAAATTATAAAATTAAATTCAAAATAATTTTTTTTTTATTCTGGAGGGTGTATTAAACCATTGGGCACGCAAACATTTTGGCCGCAGACCTTGGACATTCCAACAGGACTCAGCACCATCGCACTCAACACGTGCCACCCAACAATGGTTACAAAGAGGCTCCTCGCTCGCAATTCCAGCGCACAATGGCCACCAAATCTCCGGATACTAATCCGTTGGACTATTGTGTCTGGAGTATTTTGGAAAGCAAGGTTGGCACTTAAAAATACCAAGGTGTCGATCTCCTCAAACAAGCGCTTCGCCGGGAATGGGCCAAAATACCGCAGAACAATGATCGGGAAGCATGTGGCGGTTTCGTTGGCCGTTTGAAAAAATCTAAAATCTCATTGGCCAATTCGAATAAATCTAAACGTATTCTAAAATTCGATGCCATTTCCGACATCTTTTGCTCTCATTCAATAAAATTTAAAATAAAATGTAAAAGTTATGGCTTTAGACTTTGTTTCAGTTTTTATATCTCATCCGGTACTACGTTAGTTTGTTCGACGTAAGCTCTATATGCGACATCGGGCGTTTCTAGATGTTTACTTTATTGTCCATCTCTCCACAGTATTTTTGTGCCAATCAATATTGCATTCAATTCAATGCAAAAATAACGAAAAAATATTAATCATAAATAATAGTTTCCAATTTTTCTTTAAGATCCTATATAATTTAATATTGCCATTAAAAAGATTATTAATAATTGTCTAATTAATACTCTTGAAATGAGATGTGAACACATGATAGGTAATTGTCAGAATAAATTGATATGAGCATTGCGAACCATATTCATCATTTGGACCATATTCATCTTTATATCGCTCTCAAGTTTAGTAAAAAGATAAACAAAAACAAGTTGATTACTTTTTTATTTCAAATAATTGAGTTTGCTAAAAATACTTCAATGAGGAGCGCAACAATCACGAAATATCACGAATAACAACAGCAAAATCATAACGTTCCTGAAAAACGAGTAACAAAAACAATAACTAATTTCGAAAAGTTCTAATAATATTCTCACGCATATCACTTCTCCAAAAAAAGAAAAAAAAAAAAACAATATTAAAAGTGTTTAAAGCTTAACAAAGAACACCTGTTGTTGAGACAACAACAAATGGAAGCAGACAATGTCTTGGTCGTTCGTTTCATTGCGAGAGGCAGTGGATGATGATGGTGGGTAGGGAGACAGGGAGTACCATCTAACAGTAAAACACATTAAGAACTGTAATATGGTGGAAGTAAATGCTAGAGTAGCAGAAAAGCGTGAGTTCTTTTAAAGTGATATGAGCTATATGTCGTAAGAAAAAAAAAAGAACTATATATCCGTTGAGGCAGTTAATAACCTCGTATAACAGAAATTTTGGAAAATTATTATTTACTAATTATATTCACGATTCTATAATATTTTGTTAAAATTTTTTTGCCTACTGACAATCCAACAAATACTGTGCCAGTAATTTGACAGAAGATCTAACTAAAATTAATCAGTAAAATATTATGTACTATAAAAAGGGATCCAATGTTCCATAGGAGTTCCAATGTTAACATAATGTCCCCTATGTATTAAAAATCTGGTGGTGTCTTTGTTACGTTTTTATCTAAAATCGGTCTGATATAACCTTTTAGGCTTAAATTTGATTCGATTTGATATATCCAGCGTGTTTTTTTAATAATATACAGGGTGAAATAAAAAAAAACTGCAATAAAGTCAAGTGCCATAATTTGTACATTCTTTTTTTACATTTTATTGAACGATGAAAAATGTCGAAATAGCATCAAATTTTAAAATAAGTTTAGATTTGTTCGAATTGATCACCTTTGGCACGAATTATGGCCTTCAAACGGCCAATTCGGCCACGCTGCCCGAATGCGCTTGCTTGAGGTGACCAACACCTTGGAAAGGAGGGTATATTAACTTTGTCATTCCGTTTGTAACATCCTTAAATGTTCGTCTTAGACCCCATAAAGTATATATATTCATAATCAGCATAAAGTTCTTAGTCGATTTAACGATGTCCGTCTGTCTGTCTGTATATCTGTCCGTCTGTCTGTTGTAATCACGATACAGCCCACATATTTGTGGGTCATAATGGGTCCTAGTTCGTGTGGCGAAACATTGTAATTATAGGTCCTCGTTTTGGTGTAGCCCCCATATAACGTTACCACCCGATATTCGGCATTTTAATGGTTTTTGCCACATTTCTTCTAATGTTTCTTTTACCCTAAGGTGGAGGGTATTAAAAGTTTGGCCCGGCTGAACTTAATGTTTTTTTACTTGTTTAGTGCCAACCTTGCTTTCCCAAATACTCCACTGGAAATGAAGCGAGAAACCTCATTTTGTAACCATTCTTGCGATGGTGCTGAGAAAAACGTGCCCAAGGTTTTAATACACCCTCCAGAATATTTTCGCGATAATATGCGGCATAGAGCAACCATCGGCTGTTATGGCGGCCCACACCATCACCATGGCCGGAGTTCTGGTGGCCAACCGAAGGCGCACATTCTCAGCTGACCTCTTTGGCAAGTAAACATGATCATTTTGTTTGTTTACAAACTGCTGGACAACGAATGTTTCCTGATCGGAGAAAACCAAATTCGTCAGTTCACCACTTTCGCCAAGCGAAGCAACTCTTTAGCTCTTT